ATCGTCCAGTTCGTAGGACCCTGCCTTGGACGCCTTCAGGTACTGAGAGTGTGTGATGATTTTCAAGGTCATCTTAAAATCCAAGAAGTTGGGATAGGGTTGCCCTGTCGCATTACCGAAAACAAGTTTTCATGGCAGTCCTGCGTGAATCTGGATGTGAGCACAAATGAAAAAGAATGTCCCTCAATGAGACTTTGCTGCAGGTCTAGAATGGACTTGGTAGAGAGGATTACCCCCGCCTGCACTGGCTTGAACGCCCCATCCCCAATAGTGAGGTGGAGAAAAAGATCCTTAAATTTGACCAGAAAGTCAAGGGTGTTCTTGTAGCAGGCCTTATTTTGCCTGCTGATCGCAAGGACTGGGTGCCTGCTGCTCATAAGATCAAACCATTTGTTGACCTGTTCCAAGAACCAAGCCGTGGTGAGGAAGTTGGTGCTCCAGCCATGATTCTCCACCAGGAAGCGCAGGGCAGTGGCCGTGGAGTGACTGAGGACCCGTAGGGCAGTGCTCACCTACAAACACAGAACTGCTTTAGATCATCAAGTGTATGCAATGTTTGGTAAACTCGACTGAAGGAATCAATGATTTGAAACTTCCCCCTCAGTCAATAAAAGAACAGCATGGGCACTAAACGAAGAAAAGGCTGCTAACTTCCATTATTGTTGTCCATACGAATGGTTTTTGCTGGTTTTTTACGAGTTTTTGCCACTCTCTTAAAGTTGGCAGTTCCACTTCATGAGCAAAGGTGATGAATGCCAGCACTGAAGTAAAGTACACTCCATGGTTACTTTGGTAGCTGTGCGTTGCTAAAAGTGTCACCGACTCCGATTTGTGAACCACTGACTGATTTTGTTGAAAACACTTTAAGGGAAGCTAAAGAGGTTCTCCAAAAAAAAATGAGTTAGAGGTAAATTCTTCCGTATTTGTATCCTGCAAATTTGAATATGCACTATTTGCTCAAGAAGTATCACCCAACGCAAAGAAATATTTAAAAAATTCACTCGGCATGATGTCACGTCAAGAACTTTCACCTGGCCACCGAAGCTCAAGCACCATCTCTCGTGCAGTGTTCCGGCACATGTGACCAGCCTTGCCCAATGCAGCGTTTTTTTTTTCTCGTGAAATGGTGCGTCATCTGCTACAGACGCCTAGTTCCCGCTACAATCTTTCACGCCTGACTAACATCCGCTAAATCTTTTATGAAAGTTTATAGGTGTACTAAACTTACGTCAAAACAAACAGGCGAGTGAAAATCGTGAGCATGAGGTGAATCGCACACAATTTGTCGACCACTCAAATCAGCTTGCAATAGCTGCAGAGATTCCGAGGATCCTTGTTGCGACGCTGCTGTCTCTCAGAAATTTCCTCCTAGCTTCTTACACCTCGGGAGGGCGGGGCTTCAGCGCTATGGTCAAAATGCTTTGATGGCTACTCCGGGCCTCAAATTGACAAATAATTTTAATATTCGTGATACTGGAGGCCATATGAAGATGACGCAAGTGTTTTTTAAAGGTACAAAACCGCTTTAGTTTCCCCTTAAAGGGGCACTGACACATCAAAATCATATTTTTTTTTTATTATCCAAAACGATCGAAAACGATGCCGGGACATTACCCTCAAAATTTGAAATTTGGGAATTCAGTATTCGTGAAGTAAAAAAACAATTTCCAAATGCCGAATTCGAAGTTCCCGCGCGATCGGCGCCGGTGCCTTGACGTCAAAAATTGGTGAGACCTGAGAGTCCACTTTTTTTTCTCCACTCCCTGCTGTTGCCATGGCGACCCAAAGCGAGGAGGAAAGGAGCGAGCGCCGGCTCGTTGCGGCGGACCGGTTTTGAGCGGTGTCGCCTGTTTTCCGTTGGAGGATACCAATCCAGGAGACGGCACCACAACGAACTCCCGATTTTTGGTATTTCAAAAAGAAGGGCCGTAGTGCGTTCGCAATTGCGTTAAAAAACATGTTTTAGGATTGCCGTAATTAAATGTTATAGAGATGTCGCCTACAAAGCTTCTAAATTTCCTGATTCTTGACGTCACCGATCAAAAGAAGCGAGGAGGCGAGCGGCGGGAAAATCAAACGCCAAAAATAAAAAGGCGCGCGCGGGCCCGGGAAAATTTTTTTTCGCGGTGCGGTTTTTTTTTTGCGTGTCTATGAATGCAACTTACATCGTTTTAGACAATAAAAATAAATACGACCTTTGGGGTGTCAGTGCCCCTTTAAGCAGGCACGTGCGAATAACGAATTTTATGTTTCAAGCGAATAAGAAGCTAATAGTGACTTGGGTCGAATAATTTCGAATCGCATATTGAATACTTGCTGTGCCTTTCTGATACTGCCATTGCGCTCAGCTTCCGCCATCTTGACAGTGTTGATGTCAAGATGGCGGAAGGTAGCTTAGCTTAATGGAAGCTAACCTAAGTTAGCTTCCAGTCGTGTGTAACTAGCTTAGCTAGCTACAAACAAGCTAAGCTACATGCTAACTTAGCTTAGCACTCTTACCTTAGTACACATTTTTCAAAACATTATAGTATTTGAGTGATGGATGAGTGTGAACGAGTATGAATAAAAAGTCATTTTAGATATGATATAAAGACTATCATACCTAAAACACCTAATATCAAGGGGCACACAGTAATCCACTGAAATGAGGTTAGACAAGAGTAATTTTGAGTATGTTTTGTTCACGTTCTCAAGGATGTGCGTAAATTCTGCAGTTGCTAATCGAAGCAACAAATGAAGCTTGTCATTTAGTTCTCCTTGTCAACAGCCTTTTTCCTGTAGAGATAGCTTTCTAGTGCACAAACTCAGCATGTGAGCAATGATTATACTTTGTAAAGGAAAATCTAGCTGGTTTCATTTAGGTTATTCTCAAGTATCTGCCTACCCACTGCCAAGGCTCAGTTAATTCTGATCTAAATTACTGAATGACTCTCGCTTCAAATAAATCAAGCCCTACATAGAGATTGTAAGTAGATGAGAGATTTGTCAGTCCTCTTGCTATACCCAAATATTCGTTTTAAATCTTAGACTAAAGAAATGATGAGCAATGATGCACACTGCTTGACGGGACCTCAATTGTAGAGTAACACATAATCATGGTAAAAGCCAGTTTTTTTTTGGCCTTGAGGTAAGCACTTATATTGACCAGGAACATGAACAATCATTACGCTACATTACAATGTTTTCCTGAATTCGTCGCACACGCGCGTGACCTCTTCTTCTCTGGAGGTGTGCCTTCCACTCAATGCACAATCGCAGTGCCTGCGAAATACGCACGATGACGGTGTTTTCTCTGTAAGTGTCGCTTCTGCACAGCACACCGGTGCTCCTTAAGAAGCGCACTCAATTGCGCTAACTCGCTGCAATCGCGACTTTGCCAGCACTTAGAAAGTGTGCACATCACCGAACGAACGGCACGCGGCCAACTCATCGCGAGTCCCAAGGGCAACTGATAAGAGCGCTAGAGCGATCTCGACATCACAGGACACAGGACACACACGATTGGTAGGTGAGATGATGACGTTTTATTCTAGTAGGGCCGCGCCAATCACGGGGTGCAGATTAGACCTACCTTCCACTACATTAATGGGACGCTTGGTACCTGGGAATGGTGACTAGAATGACGTCACGTGAGAACTGTGTATAGCCATAGGCTGGGGATGGCAACATGTGCAGCATGTGCTGAGCTGTAAACAATGTTTAATTTTGGCCATTCGTGTGCAGAGATTAGTCATGAGCTGCCCAAATGTTTGCCGAGGCACTTATTGTCACGAACCCAAGTCAAGTGTTCATGCAGTGCTCGTATGGAATCCATAAGCCTCATTCGACCATCATCACCACAGGGTGCTCTCCTAGACACCATCAGCATAATTACCTCCATGGTCGCATCAGCAAGGTTACAAAAATTGGGAGTGAAGGAAACACTCCCCCTCTAAACTTGAATTCACATCTCGATGAGTGCAAGATACTGAGGTCAAACTAGTGCTGTATGCCTGCGATGAGAGAATCATTCCAACACAATATCAATAATCTACCCCTTCATACCACACTGCAACTAAGTGAAAAAGGAACCATGACACCAACTTATCATTTAAAAATAAATTGTGTAAAATACAAAAACACTACAGTTACTAACAAGGATATTATACCTGCAAATAATCAACAGGGAGCTTTGAAGCATTTTAGTAGCCTGACAACACACTTGCCTTCAAGCCGCCGCCCTAGAGTTCTAGACGACGGCAATGGGAAGCTCCCCTCCAGTAGCAAGTCGTAGCCCAAGCTGCCACATGCAGATCGCATCTGCAGCGACTTCTTCACCGTCTCATTAGACCACTTGGACCCCCTGTTGCTGGATCTCGATAGAGCTGCCAGTTGGTCCACAGTGAAGAAATCGTGCAAGTGAGACCGGAATGTCGCTTCCCTTGTCTTTTGTAAGGCAGCCTGCCTCACCAAGCGATGATTCTCGTTCTCCAGCTGCTTGATCTTCCGGCTCATCTGAAGAAAGACATCTTCAGTGAGCCTAGGTGAAACGGGTGATGGACAAAGAGGCTGTAGGGTTCGCTCAGAGGTCTTGGCCGCTGGTTGCCACAAACACGGTACAAGAATTGGGTGTCGCCCACCTCATGAGATCACTCCAAGCAGTGCAAGAACCATGACACATACCCAGCTGGTGGAGGCCGCCGACACCAAGGTGCCGAGGGCAGCTGCGCTGGCCTGGCCGCACTGGTTGTCACTGGTCACCTGCAGCGAAGGGTGCGGTGGTATTGCTACACGGGGGTATGCAGGACCCTGGAAGATGCTTACGAAGCACGCCCCGCTGGTGGTGGGGAGTGGCTGCGTTAGCAGGCCGCCCTGCAGGGCCGCTCCAGAGGTCCTGGCTGCTGGTTGCTGCAAACACGGTACGAGAATCGGGTGATTCCCACCTCACAAGATCACTCCAAGCCGTGCAAGAACCACATACCCAGCTGATGGTGTCTGCCGACACCAAGGTGCCGCGGGCAGCTGAGCTGGCCTGGCCGCGCTGGTTGTCACTGGTCACCTGCGGCGAAGAGCGTGGTGGTATTGCTACGCGGGGGTACGCAGGACCCTGGAAGATGCTTACGAAGCACGCCCCACTGGTGGTGGGGAGCGGCTGCGTCAGCAGGCCGACCTGCAGGGTCGCTCCGGAGGTCCTGGCCACTGGTTGCTGCAAACACGGTATGAGAATCCTCGTTTTGCAGAAATATGGGTTCGAGAATAAATGGATTTGTCTCCCTTTCTCTCTTCATGCTGGCCGAGCGGAGAGGGACGAAGGCTTCTTTGTATTTACCTCGGGGTGAAAGATAATCCTCAAGGGGGACAAAAGTGGTTTTGGGGGAGCTCTATGTAAGTCAATGCGACACAATAAGCCAACGGGACGCAGTGGACGTGCCTGCGGCCAGGGAACTCTCGTCTTTTAGCCATGCACTCTCGAACCACTAATTCTGCAAATGGTCCACTGGGTGTTGCCCACCTCACGAGATCACTCCAAGCCATGCAAGAACCATGACAGATACTTAGCTGGTGAGGCTGTCATAACATTACAAGGCAGCTGAGAGTGATGAATGCCTCATGCATTAACTTAATAGAAGCAACAGAATATGAGTTATTGGGTTTTGACTTACATTTCCATGAGGCGGGGTTTTGTGCTGTGTCAGGCTGCAACACTGAATGATGGTGTCTCATGCACTCTTGCACAAGGACCACTCCGATTTAAAAAAAAAAAAAAAAGGTCTCTGACATGGAACCGAGATGTCAACAGCCTACCAAGTCCACATTATTATAGGTCACCTGTGCCTCTTTCAAATCATATCAGTAAAAACATCTTAACACAAGATAAATTATTGCTTTTAATTCACTCTCATAATCTAGGTAAATACCAAAAGAACAAAAATCTCACTTATCCTCGTTACACACACTCACTTGACTTTCAGAATGCAGAAACAAGCTCGGAACAGCTGTGGCTTTTAGCCTCCTCCAGCCGTCAGAGCACCTCGTCTGGAACTGGGAGGGCTCGAAGTGGTCCTGCAGCGAATAACGTTTTGGTAGACGTCAAAACTGTGTATTCAGCCGCTCGCGTCACAGTACAGTTATTCCGCTGACGAGAGGCTCACGCTTTCAAAATACGCGATCTTACAAATCCATCATCGCACGACCGCCACAGGCCTGAACCACTCGTCTTTCTGCGGTGAAGCGAAAGCGCACAGGACGCTTCCACGGCAGTAGAGAATAGATCACAAAATACACGGTTTCGTCACAGTGCACTCGCGTCCACCGTGCTCGCGTCACAATATTAACAATGAACAATACCTCACCTCGCAAAGGTACGTTCTGTCGGGAGGTTTCCACCCCGCGCCACGCCTGATTCCTGAAAGCCACAGTTTCCGTCTCCTCGGGGATTTCGGCAGCTTGAACAAGCGAATTCCCCTGGAAGCTCTGTTCCGGCACTTCAGAGCACAACAACGACCCATTTTTCAAACAAGACCGGAACGGCGGAAGTCCCGCGGCTACACAAACTTTTGTTTACGTTATTTCAACGCACGTGTCCGCGTGCGCATTCGTTTATTCTACCATTAAAGAAGGCTATGACGAAAAGCTCACATGCACCAAGTTTTCAGTCAACGAGCGTTAACTTTTTTAACTCTAGCGACGCTAAAATGAAATTACCGAACCCTGCTTTACTTTTGAGGCCCACGACCACCGCTAGGGGAGGTTTTGCGGCTTGTGATTGGCCACGAGCGGCCTGTCAATCAACTATTCGACCAATAGATTTTCGCCCCATTGATACCACTGAATGGCCAAACTCTCCCAATATACGGCTCTGGGCTGATAGTGTAGCAAGCTCCACCAAGCGGACGCGCCGCAAAAAGGCGACAGCCGTTTTCCGTAGGTCGTCAACTGACAGAAATCTAAGAACGTTGGTATAAAGTTACCACAACCAATTTTTATAAAGAAGTAAAGAGTGCTCGTGCACAGCTTTGATCGGCGCTCAGGGTGCTCAGGCACCCTTTCGACCGTGCGTCCATTGCTTTGACCAGAGCCACCAAATAAGCTTAAAATCATGGTGGCCAGTTATCTGAAGCTTCATCTAAGATCGCATGAAACATTTTTTCGTCCTACAGACATTTCAAAACAGTTCGCGACAGAGCAAAACGATATCACATAAGCTTGCTAACACCGCATGTAAAGCTGAGGGAAGTCGCATTTTCGAATTGTGTAGATCGACAGTTATACCCCTGTTATACCGCTGTTACACGGGCACACTTAACCGCGGTTAACTCAGCTTTAACTGCGGTTACGTGGCAGCACATATGCCGCACTATACCCTCGGACAGCTAGTTCAAAAGAAGTGAAAAGAGCGCGTGCACCGCTTTTATGGTTGCTCATAGCTCTTCAAGATGCTCAAGCGCACGTTCGCCCATAGCTCTGACTGCATCGCCGCAGAATGTTGTCGGCAATTATTGTGCGCTAATTGTGGTTTAGCGTAACTGCAGTTAAGTGTGCCCGTGTAACAGCGGTATTAATGTGTCTGCTTTGCGCTAAGCACCAAGATGGCTGCGTCCACAACAATACAGGGGAACAGAGTGCCGAGACTCTACCCGTAGCTCATTCAGCGGCTCTAGCTTTGACCAGTAACGTTGGCTTTGACGGCATAGACAGGGAGTTGTCCCCGAGTATATCTGAAGGCTGCAGGTTCACGTACAACGGTTGCGTTCGCATGCAACCGAAACGACCGTAACGGCCAAAATACCGCAACAGCAGTGACTCATGAATTACTTCGCGAAGCTACCCCTTGCATCGCTTGCCATGCTGTGTACGGCGAACACTAGTAGCGGTGACTTTGTCGTTAGGGTCGTTTAAGTTGCATGCAAACGCAACCAGCGCACACGTACGAACCAGCGCTCCAGCTCGTGCTGCAGAACCCAGGGATCCTTGCTTTAGTCTCGCCCTTGTTCGTTTCGACCTGGGGGTCTCTGGACACTTGACGAAAAAGTCGGCGAGGAATTTCGCCCGCCGTGATTTACCGGTGCCAAGGACAAGGGCAGCGCCGTCCAATCACGGCCGCCGAGGAGACCCATCTCACCATGACATTTGAGAGTTTTGGCGCGCAAAGCTCCTTCTCAGGCCTTTCCAAACACTTGCCTGCCCAGCAAAAGGAGCGTGGAGCAAAGTTACTCCAGAGCTTCGCTAAATGAGGTGAGTTCGGGACCACACCAACATTACAAAGATAATATGTGTGTACACTGCAAAAAGCGGCATAAAAGAAATAAAATAAAAGAAAAGAAAAGAGTTTCATTTAATGTGCACTCTTGCTGTTTCCTGAGCTATTCAAACAAATTACATTTTCTGAATACTCGGACTTTAGTCTTCATGGTATGCTATCATTGCCTCGAAATTCAAAATAGCCATTGAGAAAACCTTAAATAAAGATGATACTGAAACCAACATTCGAATTTCCGCGCGCTCTCCGGTGGTGTGGCGTCACAAATGGTACAGACGTTCAGGTCGCGCAGGTATTCTCTGTTTCACTTAGTTTCACCTTCTGTTGTACCGCAGCGAAAGCTACAAGCGCGAGCTCCTTGCTCTAAGGGGACGTCTCGGCGGCACAAGCTCTCGTGCACGAAGGGTAGCTGCCAACGGTATGAGCTCGCGCTTCTAGCCTTCGGTGCGGTACAACATGAGGTGAAACGGAGTATTCGCCTCGAGATCGAACCGTGTCGCCACCGTGCGGCCGAAATGGGAAACGCGCGAGAGCGGGGATACCGCCGTGCGTCGTCAGCTACGGGCGCACGCTCAGAAGCATGAATCAAGCTCTCCACCATGGATGCCCAAAGACAAATCAAGGAACAGATTATAGACTATAAAAGCAAAAACAAATGCAGAGCTATACTAGCACTGGACTTAGCTGGAGCCTTTTGACAACATAACACACGATTTCATACTCGAATCCTTAAAGGCCGACTTACGAAACCATTTTCCGCAGGGTAGGAAAATGCTCCCCAACGACCTTCGCTCCCTCCCCTCTCGCACTCCTTCCTCCTCCTCCCCTGAAAAGGGCGGGTTCGGAAGCTAGTCTCCGTGGAAAGGAGAAGGGGTTTCCTCCTTTCTGGGTGGCAAGGAGGAAACCTCTTCTCCCGCGGAAAATGGTTTTGTAGGTCGGCCTTTAAGTGCACTGAACCTGGGCGAGAAACTGCATAAGTTTGCAAGCAGCTTTCTTTCCAACCGAGAAGCCACATTGAAGGTAGGCGAACTTTCAACCGAAGGCATAAAACTAGGAAACAAAGGCACACCACAGGGTTCAGTAATCTTGCCGGTCCTTTTTAACATTTCTATGATAGGACTGGCGAGAGAACTTGAACAGGTGGAAGGTATCAGTTTTAGTATATACGCAGATGATATCACTATATGGACGGAACAAGAGAGCGAAGAAAATGTAAGGAAGGCACAACAAACCGCTATCATCGCCACAGAAAGGTACCTCAAACCATCGGGGCTCAAGTGCGCGCCAAACAAATCCGAGCTTCTGATTCTTAAAAACAGCAGGAATTGGAAAAAAAAAGGAACAGGAAACTGTAGAGGTTAAAATATACACAGAAGACGGAACCCAAGTACCTGTAGTGCAAAAAGTCAAAATCCTAGGAATGCACATCCAGCGCGACGGAGGAAACAAGACCATGCTAGAAACTCTCCTAAACAGAGTCAGCAACGCACATAGAATGATCAGAAGAATCGCAAACAAACACGCAGGGATCAAAGAGGAAAATCTGTTAAAACTCGTGCATGCATTTGTCATCTCACACTTAATATACTTGACTCCATTAGCTAAATGGAAAAAAAAAAAAAAACGAACTGGAAAGACTAAACGCCAAAGTACGAGCAATATGTAGATCAACACTAGGAATACCCAAAACTACGAGTAACGAAGCACTGAACCGCCTAGGAATACACAGCCATGTTGAGGAAAGAATTCAGGCACAGAAGCGAGCTCAACACAACAGACTAGCATGAAGCAAAACCGGAAGGGATATCCTAAAAGAACTAGGACTAACAGCTAGAGATTGTCAATGCGACAAAGAAACGCTGCCGAGAAGTGCATATGAGAGAATCAAAATACTACCAATCCCAAAGAACATGGACCCGAATCATGACGAGGAACGAAGAAAAGCTAGAGCCAGAGCTCTGCTAAAGACCTACGGTAAAAGAAAAGATGTACTCTTTGTAGATGCTGCTTGTTACGACAATAAAAAGCTCGGACAGAAAGTAGCAGTAGGTACAGAAGGCAACGCTATAAGTGCCATTAGGGTTAGAAACGCCTCAAAAGAAGAAGCAGATGGAGATGGGCATCGCCATAGCAGCGAACTGCAAAAACTGCAGCCACATCTTCTGCGACTCGAAAACGGCTATCAGCAACTATATCAAAAACTACGTATACAAAAGAACGACCAAAAATCCTGAGGAAAACAAGCAAAAACTCAGAATAAATAACCATACGTTGGTTCCCAGCACACATTGATCAAAGCGAGGACGAAAACCTGCCTAACCTTAACGTGCGCGCAGACGAAACCGCGAGGAAACTGAGCCGCGGAATAATTCAGCCGCCTACAAAGGAAGAGGTAGAAGAAAGCGAAACTCCACAAACTTTTCAAGAAATCACTAGAGGCTTCCAATTAAATAGGAGAGTCTACGCTCCACCACATAAAACTCTCAGTAGAAGAGAAGGCGTTTTACTCAGAATGTTACAGACTAAAACAATCCCAACACCCAAAATGATGAACATCATTAGACCAGAGTTTCAAAAAGAACCTATACGCAACGTATGCAAAGTGAAAGTAGGAACTTTCAAACATCTAATGTTCGAGTGTATCAAATCCAGGAAAAAATATCCGCTGACCACCGAGGGGGAGATGCTGGCTGCCTTGGCCCAACCTGACGAGCGAGCCCACCAGTGGGCCATCCAGTATG